TGAGATGGAAAACTCTCCTGTTCTGCTTCATGATGGCGCTCCTGAAGAACACGCGGATGCAGTGGGGGAGTGGGGCCCTCTGCTGGCCGACTATCACTCACAGCTCCTCTCTGCCTGCTCTAGCCATTGCAGAGGGAGAGGTTTCCCAGAGGGCATGCTCCAGTGGTGTTAGGCCCTGGGGTAGTCGCAGGCTCCTGTCCTATTACAAGCTCCTTGGGTCAAGCCTTTCGGGGGAGTATTCCCGGGGGAGCTTGGCCAGCCCTAGCTCCTATGCTCTGCTGCTCTTTCTGTTCGTGTAGCACTCTGCTTGCCAGTGCTTTCTGCTCAACTGGCTTCTGACGCTTTGGTGGAAGGCAAAGAGGTTAGGTGTGGACTGAGTGAAGCTTTTGTGCTGTCACCTGCTGTCTTTGAGCCAGCTAAAGTCGCTTCATTTTACTGATAGGTAATGTTGACAGATGCCCGGAATGAATATAAATTGGGGGTGTGAGTGGTAGTATTTTGAGTCTTTGCACAGGAGGAACATGTTCTACTTGAAGTGACCATCCATGGAAACCCTGATCTAGGTTAATTCACCATTTTGGCTTGGCTGGGGGTTTTCACTTTTTGTTATTGGGGTATTTTGTTTGTTTGTTTTGTTGTCGTTTGTGTTTTTTATTTTTATTTTGTCCCAACATTTTCCTTTATAGTCCACCATTAGATATTGATCAGTTGAAGCTCATTTTAAGACTCGTTGGAACCCCAGGGGCTGATCTTTTGAAGAAAATCTCCTCAGAGTCTGTGAGTTGATGCTTTGATTGTAATTCATGATCTGCCGTGTTGGGAGCCTCTGCCGCTTCCCTCAATCTGTACTTTGACCTGGGTATGTTTGTAAGCACGTGTGCCCTTTTGTGCTGACTTCCAGGATGAAGTATAAGTGTGTGTGTATGTGTGTGTGTGTGTGTGTACACATTTGCTCACGTGCATGTGTTTCGTTCTCTGTTGGAGTACATACATAGATCATGAGAGCTGGTATTGAGCAGTCGTGTCCCAGTAAATGATTTGAGATTCTAACTCATTCCAAGAGATCAATGGAAAATTGGTCTCTGTTACCAAGCCCTGACATCATTTTCCTCAGCAGTGTCACATATACCTGAGCTCTTTTTATATTCTGGTTAGTGCTTGCTCTCAGAGCATGAGCTTCACCATGTACTAGTCTAGCTTCATCACCACGAGGATGAAGTGTGCATTGGGTGCACGCTACTGCCCTTTTCCAGAAGTTCCTGCTTTTTATTGTTTTAGAATCGACAACTCTACATCTTGTATAAGTTGTCTATTCTCAGCAGGGCCATCTCTCCACCCTGTCTCCAGACCAGTCCTAGTACTTCACATCCACTGGAGTTGGCTTGTAAATCCTTCCTCCCACAGCCTGACTTTGTAATTACAAGTCAAATAACCTGAGAAAAAGCTTTAGAGCTAATGCTTTCCTGCCTCTAAGCAGGGGTTTAGAGAGAAGCCGTGGGAATGTGACTCTGGCTTGCTTTGGCTCCGATTTCCTGCTGTTGGTCATTTTCTAGGGCCAGAGATAAGAGAGAGATCATGAAAGCTCAGCCTTTCTCCCTTTTCTCCTCTGTCTGCCGCCAGGCAGTTGACTAAAAGGGAAAAAGAGCTGTGGAGCCAAGCTCCAGTCGTGCCTTCCTGAATTCTCGTCCCAGCATTCTGACTAACGGGGTCCCTTTGCCCAATTGGACGGACTGCTGGGTAGCTGGAGGCAGGCTTGAGCAGGTGAGTTTGAATGGTTCATCGTCTCCCTTACAAAATAAAGAATATTGTCATCTGATATGTTTCTGGTACATTCCTTTAAAAGACCACAAAGTCCAGTGTATTTATCAATTTCTACTCTGAGGGATGTAAGAGACTGTGCTGGCTCTATTATTTTGTTTCATTTATTTATTTAAGAAGAAGAAGGAAAAGCACAGAAAAGCTGTGACTTGCCTGAGTCATGCACTGAGTCACTTGGCAGAGCTGAGCATAGATATCAGATGTTCTGATAACATGATCTCTAAACTTGAATCTCATGCGATTGCACACTATTTTGAAAGTCATTGTCAGAGTTACTGACCACAGTGTTAACCCAAAGGAGTGTTTTCTTTTGCTTTATGAAGTGCAGAAGCTGGATAGAATGAATCAAAGAAGATACGAGATGCTGCGTAGTGAGGATGGTGCCTTATTGTTTTAAATGCATTTGCTGAGAAAAACCGGTAATAGAGAAAACACGGGGGCAAGGGAGCGGGGTTGGGAGGAAGTTCAGTTTGTTTACTGATAGTACTAATGAGACTAAGATAGTAAATTCATTCCCTGTCTGGGAAAGGCTGTTAGCAGCTCCTGCTTAGTCGTGTCTCCCACCCCAACCATCCACCTTATAGGTGTGTGCTGTTAGTCATAAGAATTTCTAAAAGAAAAAGCATGGGTAATATAGTATTTACCTATTATTAATCCATCATTTATTGTTAAGAAAGAAACAACATCAAGTGCCCAAACTAATAATGAGATCACCTTTATCTTCGGTGAAATAGGATATATTATACATTTAAATAGCTCTAGAGTTGGGCATAATAAAATGGAGTACCAGAATATAGAACGCACTCAAATAATATTGTATTGAGTACAGGAATAAGACAGTTGTTTTTTTTTTCCTACATGGTTATGGCGAGTAAATAAAAGGGGTTTTATTTATTTATTTATTTATTTTTCAACATTTATTTATTTTTGGGACAGAGAGAGACAGAGCATGAACGGGGGAGGGGCAGAGAGAGAGGGAGACACAGAATCGGAAACAGGCTCCAGGCTCCGAGCCATCAGCCCAGAGCCCGACGCGGGGCTCGAACTCATGGACCGCGAGATCGTGACCTGGCTGAAGTCGGACGCTTAACCGACTGCGCCACCCAGGCGCCCCAAAAAAGGGGTTTTAAACTTTCAAAACGGTAGACAAGATTAATTTGATGTCAGTGATACTCCCCAAGTACCAGTTTATTTTAAAAGCACATGATGTGTAGGATACATGCTGTGTAAATAACAAAGCCAGGTGAGGAAACCTGTGTAAAGGTATTAGAAATGAAAAGAAAAATTCATTAGTGAAGGAATGTAATAAAAAAAGAAAGCCAATAGCTATTTTCATCACTCGTGAAGAATAGTGAGGTAGTGATGTCATCACTGATGTAGAAATTCAATCAATAAATAATAAGACATTGTAAGAAAATGCGATAATGGGTGGGCTGATTGAGAACAAGTTGGGATGTGCTGGGAGAAAAGGGGATAAAATGGGTCATGGTGGATGGCTGAGGAGAGAGTTTTTTGGTTAGTGACCCAACACCTATAGTAATCAGTGAAAGAGCAAAAAAAATCTCATACTAAAAATGCAAAAGCCCTTTCACTGACTCACATTTTTCTCTAGAAATCTATTCTTCCTAACCCCCTGACAGGAAGGGGGTATAAGAACCTATTTGACTAAAGGAAACAAAGACAGAAAACGCACAGGCCAAGTGTTGTTCACAAGAAAGACCAGAGAGGTGGCAGGATTTTAAGATTTTAAAACCCAACTGGTGTTCCACTATTGCAGGGGGGGGGGGGGGTTTACTTAGCGGGCCCCCTGTGGTTACATTTCTTGGCATGCAAAGTAACGTTCGTTATGTAACTTGCTTAAAGGTAAATCTAAACTTTGTTGAGAGAAAGTTAAAACGACTTCATGCCACCTTTTGAATCTGCTGGCCTGTCTTTGGGCCGGTGTGAAATAGAATGTGACAGGCAGGGTGGAGCGTGTGGCCCCAGCCCTCTCCTGATGGCCAGCCTTACACACGTCATCCGACCCCTAGGGCATTGGAGCTACTGAAGGGAGCCACAAAGAAATGTAATTACTTGACCAGGGTGCTCACTGAAGATGCCACGCCAGCCGCAGCGGGGAACGAAAGGTTTAAGAAGAAAGGGAATACAAGACCATTTTTATTGAATTGTGTTGATTTTCAAAATCCCATCACTTCTCCTTTAATAGGAACACATGATAAACTGGCAGTTCTTACAGCACTTTGGAGGCGGGGGAATTGTGTTAAAGCTGATGGGACAGCACGAAGAGGAAAGTTTGGAGTGCCGCTTACATACGCGCGCGTACCTACAGAAGACCTCATGGTTCGGTCCCGGCAGACTGTTTTGTAGGCTCCCTCCCGGCTGTTTATGAAGTGGAGTCAGCCTGTCCACCTGTTAGAGACTTGTGGAGGAAATCACTGAGGCTTGCTAGAACACCATCAGTGGCCTGTGACTTCTGTTCCGTCCTTGCCATTGGCTTCTAACTTTCCCCCGTGTCTCCTGTTTCTTCCTGTGTGTTTGTGTGTTTGTGATAACACACAAACTGTGTGTTTGTGGCATGTTATAAATGTACCACGACTAATGTCTTTGAAACTTGGCATTGCTTATCAGCTCACACACCCGGCCATGTCTTAAGATTGGAGGGGTGGTGCCTTGGAGAGTCACCAGAACCTGTGCCACAAAAATTTAACCTCTTCCTTGAATGGATATATTGAAAGTTTTATTTTCTCCAGAGCCAAATCAAAATTTTCTGAATCCTCTCCATTTACCCCCCCCCCCCCCCCCCCCCCCCCCATCCCCAAGCAAACAGGTTTGGGCCATCCTGTTGAAAACAGTTCTCTGGCTGGCATCCTGGATCACAGGGCAGTCTCTTTCCAGGGAGCCTAAAATATTTCATGTTAAAGATGATGCTAAAATGAAAGAAAAGCAATTTTTCTTATCTGCATGGCCAGTCACTGGCTGCATGCCTAATAACTCTCATGCCATTCATAGAAGTGTGCCTTAACATACAGCCTTGGGCTCTGGCCTGGGGTGGGGGTGGGGGGAATGAGTGGGTGGGTTTTTCCTTTGTTTTGGGGTGGCTTTTTTGGCCTTCTTAAAAACTTGAGTTGAAAGTTATTTTTTTGCACTGTATGTTTAACAATGCCCTTGACTAGGCATCTAAGATATTAACCAGCTTCAGCAGATTATGCGTCTGACGGGGACCCCCCCTGCTTATCTCATTAACAGGATGCCAAGCCATGAGGTGAGAACAAACAGACTGTATAGGGATATCCAATTCAGAAGGCCACATTTCATTTTATTGCCACTGTATAATCAACACAGTTTTTAATGTCACTGAGTGCTTTTGCATGTGCCTTGAAGGCTACTGATGACTGCCCGTGTGCTGTTGCAAGATGTTGACATTTGGGATAAAATGTCATCCAATCCTATGGATTGAGAATATAACTTACAGGCTTGTAAATAGAAAATGATATTACTTCTATATTTGGGTTTTATGAATTTAGTGCTTAAGAGACTGTTGTGTGTTCCTAGTTAGGGTATGTTACCATCTGATGGCTTTAGGCTGGAAGTGTATTTAACTGAGGACCATTAGGATGGTCTACTCGTCAATTTTTTATAATGAGCAAAAGAGTATTATTCCTTTAAAATACAAAAAATCAGTAAAATATCCAACACTAATAAGTACTGTATTTAAAAGAAAATATGTAAATAATATGGAATAAATATGAACACTGATACAGCATAAGGTGTCTTCTGGACCAGTTCTTACTACTTAATCTAATGCTAGCTTTCTTATCAGAGGTGATTGGGGCACTTCTTTCTAAGGCGCCTTTAATGCTTTTGGGAGCCAGGTTGGCATCCAGAGGCCCTTCCCAGCAGCTTTGTTTCTATTTCAGCTATATTTCAGTCTTGAAATTTACCTTTTTTTAAAAAATCTTATTAGAGGGATGACTGTTCCCTGCATGAGACAGACAGGTCTCTCTTGCCTCTGTTTTCCCTTCATCCTTTTATCTTTACGCTCAAGTAGGAAGGGATTACAGCCATGTGGACAGTCGAGTTCTTTTCAAATCGGACTCAACGGCTTTTCAAAGCGGACTTCTACTTGCGCCACATACAATGACTAAGAAGGTGAAGTTACCCTAGCAACCAGAACTTTTTCTAAGGTTGTGTGTGCGTGTACATTTTTACACACATACAGCGTACACACATACGTTTAGTGTTGAGCCTTGTTAAAACAGGAATTTTAAGGAAGTGGTTAAGATAAAAGAAATTTTATCTCAGATGGACTGATAGTGAGTGGGGTTTACTTTTTGAAACAGGGATGTCCATAGACATAGTTTAATACCTAATCTCTGAAGTACACATTTATGAGTTACATTTGTATTTATATGATTATTCTCAAGACCAGTTTTTGGCTTGCCTTGGTAGAGCTATCAGTCCTGAATAATATTTGGTGCCTTAAGTTCCTTAGGGTGAAATTCAGAACTTGTGAAGTTGAAACACCCTTAGTGAATGAGAGCAAACTTTCTAAAGGCAACGGTGTTGGCAGTTAATGTCTATTGAGCCATCACTCTGAACCAAGCACTGTGCTGAGGAAGTGCTGGCTTATTATCTCTAATCCTCACTGCAGCCTGGTGAGGTCAGCATTGTTAATCTCATTTTACAGAAGAGGAACTCAAGACTTAAAGAGAGTAAGTGACTTACCCAAAGTGATAAACTCAAGATAGAAACTCAAGCCTGTTCCACCGTAGGGACCAAACTAATAACAACTATATTGGTAATATAAATGTTTGTGTCAGAATTTTAGTTTGAAGCTCTTTCATAAACTTTTATCGTACTTGAGTATCACAGTGACTGTATGTTACAGGCAAGCCAAATACTAATATCTAATACTAATATTTTGCAGATGAGGTCACTGATTGTTAGCTGAGGACTAGCCCCAAAAGATGTACCTTCTAAGTGGTAGGGGAAAGATTTCTGCACAAGCCGTGTAACTTATAACCCACTATTGTTTGTTACTCTTAATAATTAGTGTTTTTTAAATGTGTTCAAGACTCTTAGAATAATATACTAGGCTTATGTTTACTTTCTTGTTACCAAGATTACTTTGTTAGCAAGGTTTAACATGAATATCCTTTTTATGTACCAAGAGTACCTACTGAGATCAGCACCATCAGAAGACTGCTAGTCCTAGACTTTCCTTAGGAGTACCAATCCCTGTGCTAATTTTAGCTTTCTAGGAAGGCTGTTTCAGAAAGGGGAGCTTCTTAGATCTCCTGGCCTCTTTTTTTTTTTTTTTTTTAAACTTCTGATCCTTTGATCAGAAAGCTATTAAAAGGGAACTTAATTGGTTAGCATTCTCATTCACTTGAAATGTAACTGTGAGAGATAACCAGAATAACAAAGGTGATGATCATACATAAGGCAGTAAAAGAGAAGTCTTTAACTGAATATCAGAGACAGTCATAAATACCGAAGCTAGCAGATTTTGTCAGTTAACACTTGTTCCTTGGCAGGACTGAGACTCCGGGAGCAGTAACATTATTGAACAAAGCCATTTTGAAAACCTTTTATTTTTACAGGCAAGAAACTACATTCAGTCTTTGACCCAGATGCCGAAAATGAACTTTGCAAATGTATTTATTGGTGCCAATCCCTTGGGTAAGTTGATCATATCCTCATCTCAAGGATATTGACTTGTTTATGACATAAATTGGGGATCTGAAGAAGAGTTTTTCCTTTTGATTAAATAGGGTACCACTGGGGCACCTGGGTGGCTCCATCAGCTAAGCATCCAACTTCAGCTCAAGTCATGATCTCACGGTTTGTGAATTCAAGCCCCACATCGGGCTCTGGGCTGACAGTGTAGAGCTTGCTTTGGATCGTCTGTCTCCCTCTCTCTCTGCCCCTCCCCTACTTGTGTGTGTGTGCACACGCTCTCTCAAAAATAAATAAAACATTAAAAAAAAAAAAAGGGGGGGGAGTTGCTTTATTCCTTAAAGCTAGGGCTAATAGATGCTTTGGTTGGCCTCTAAAAGTGTCATTGCCTGAGCCTCTAATTCCCTGATTCAAGGACTGTGCAGTGGACAGTGCTTTTTAACGGCAGACACAGAAAAATCAGATCAGGGCCTTCCTATGACAGGGAGGGGGCAATGCTATGATAATAGTATAATCAACCTTCTCTCTTTTCTGAAGATTGTGTTGTGTGTGTTATATGTCACATGTTATATGTGCAAGGCTGTGGGATGTTTTGGAATCTCTCAGTGGGTCCTCCCTCTCCTTATGGGTCCCAGCAGCTGCACTTCCCATTTAGTTTTATCCTCCGAGGGCTGATAATCACGACTCCCTCTTCAGGTTGTAGTGAAGGCTGAGTGGCTTTACCGTTTTAAGTACTTCTTCCATAGTGATTGTTGCGAGTGATTTCAGTGTTACTGTGATAATTCTTACAATAGCAGAGATGCTTACCTTTTTTGAAAAGTTGGGCAGTTCTGGGTGAGCCTGTGTCAGCCTTGGAGATCGTAAGCGTGCCAGACCTCAGCTGGGCCACTCTCACATCCAAAAATGAGTCCACAGACTCATCAGGGGTATACAGAATTCTGTGCGGTCGGTTGAGGTTTGCATCTGCCCTGGTACGCTCCCGTTGGCTTTGTATGATTTATTTGAGCTGTAGTATCCAGTTCAAGGATCTGTGAGAAGCTCTCTTTGAGTCGCAAATACGCTAGGATGTTGGGAAATCATGTTGTATGCTGGTAGCTTTCTTGTCTGTCATTCTGTTCTGAATGTATTTTCATCCTATCAGTTCATGTTTCAGACCTGGCAGTGCTCACTGTTTGACTTCCTCTTAGCCAACTCAAAGAGACTTGTTAACTCACTTTTCTAGAGAAGGGGGGAGGTATGTGTGTGTCCCAGCAGTTTATTTAGGTCACATCCATCCTTCTCTGGAATCATGAATTTAAATATTCTCAAAAGAACTGGATACCACCTAGCAATACAGACTGCAAATGAGTTGAATGGAGGCTTTGGGCCATCTGGTGTTCAGCACTGCACTTGTCAGGATTTAAACATGCCTCATAGCTCACTGCCAAACAGTGATGTCATACAAAGAGTTTCTTCTTGCAGACAGAACATGTTGTTACTGACCATGAACTTGTGCCCAGCATATTAACTGAGCAGGAGTACACCAACGATGTAAATAGTGACAGCTGTATTTTGTCAGTCACTGGCATCATGTTTAACTGGCATTCTCAAAACATGAATTAAAGCTTAAATTGCCCTTTGATGTGGTGTGTATATTTGTATCTGTCAAGATCTTAGAGGAATCTTTTTCTTGCCCCAACCTTATTCCTCATCAAGGTATTGGTTATTAGGACCTGGTACTTTTCACCCTAGGAAACCCAGTCAAATGCAGTGCGTGACCCTTAACTGGATCTTGGTTTGAACAAACTACGTATAAAAGACAACTTTAGGATAATTGGAGAAATGTTAACATAAGCTGGATTTTAGATGATATTTGAGAATTATCTGTTTGTCAGATATGATCGTTTTGTGACTATATAGAAAGATGTCTTTATGCTGAAATATTTAGGGGTAAAGTACCATGCCTATCATTTTATTTTAAAATGGTCCAGCAGAAAACACAGTTAAGTAGATAGATAATGTTTTCTTGTTTTTTTAAAAAACTTTTTAAAATGTTTATTTATTTTTGAGAGAGAGAAAGAGAGCTTGAACAGGGGAGGGGCAGAGTGAGAGGGAGACACAGAATCCAAAGCAGGCTCCAGGCTCTGAGCTGTCAGCACCGAGCCTGACGCGGGGCTCGAACTCACAGACTGCAAGATTATGATCTGAGCTGAAGTCGGATGCTTAACCGACTGAGTCACCCAGGCGCCCCTAGATTATCTTAATTGTTGGATATGGGTGGTGGTGGGCATATGAGTATTCACTGTACTATTGTTTTGTACACTGAAATTTTTCATAGTGAAAATTTTATTTCCTTTATCCAAATACCATGTCTCGCCCACACACCCATGTAAAACCCTCAATTTGTTCATTGTTTGAAGATCTGTTTAATGGATACTCATTGCCTTATGTCAGTAAATAAACAGTGCAAGCAGACAAAAAAATAAAAAAACAAAAATCAGGCTGCTTACCTTTTCCTGATTACTTTGGTTATAGGCTTTCATTTTGACACAGTTTGACTACAGTGGTAGCAGTTTGACATTGGCGTTCCACAAAAGCTTGTTCAAACAGAATCTCAGTTATTTTTAAAAATCGCTCTTTAGTAATGTATTCTTAAAAAGCACGATACACACACACACACACACACACACACACACACACACACACGAAGAAGAGGGATAATGTATCCTAGAGCAGACATTTGGGAGGAGAATTATTTTGTTTATTATGAAGAGTCAAAATTGTGTGTTTGCTTAATAAAGCATAATTTTTTGCTACCATGTTAAAAACTCTTTTTTTTTCTGTCCAATCCATGTACTGATAGCGGTGGACTTGCTGGAGAAGATGCTTGTACTGGACTCAGACAAGAGAATCACAGCGGCCCAAGCACTTGCACACGCCTACTTTGCCCAGTACCATGATCCTGATGATGAACCAGTGGCTGATCCTTATGATCAGTCCTTTGAAAGCAGGGACCTCCTTATAGATGAATGGAAGAGTAAGTCATAAGAGCAGGATTAACATCTAGTGTGAGGACTTAGATTTAAAAATCTTTCTTAGGTGAGCCACTAACCAAAAGCTGTGGGAAAATAGAATTTCTGGTTATAACCGACTTGTTAAAACTTGTCACTAGTGTCTTTGATGCAGAACGAGTATGTTTCCCTGATGGCAACTGTCTGTTGTAGATGATACTCTCTGGACCTTTGAGGTGCTTCTGTCTGGTCTGATTTTGCACACAACCCCTCACATCTGTATAGAGCTTTGAGGTTCTCAGAATCTGCATTTACAACATCTCTCTAAGTAGGGAATAAGGTATTTTTATAGTTTTACAGTTGATAGAACTATAGAATTATAGTTTTACAATTGATGGAGAGTTTTTATCTTGTCTGTTACCTTAGACCTAGTTAGGGACACAGCCAGAAATGGAGCCTATGTCTCCTCTATGTCCAATCTCAAAGTCTTTCCATAAAACACACATTCAGAACTCCAGTTAAATCCCCAAGCCAAAATTACCTGTTGCTGTAGCTTGCAAGAATGCTCTGTTATTCCTGCTCCAGAGAACTTTAAAGAGGAGACACTGAGGAATAAAGCATAGAAGTAAAAATAGTTCTTTCACGTGTATCACTGAACTGCCGTGTAATCACACGTTCCATTAGGATAGCGCACATAAGCAATGAGGCGGTTCTTTGAAGTCACCCATCAAACCATTAGCCTGCACGGGGAGGAAGGATCTCGAACTTAGAAGCTTCGAGTGCTTGCCAGCAAAGAGAATCATCTGAACCCTCACATCCTACTTTTCCTTCCCAATTTCCAGGCCTGACCTACGATGAAGTCGTCAGCTTTGTGCCCCCACCCCTTGACCAAGAAGAGATGGAATCCTGAGCACCTGGTTTCTGTTTTGTTGATCCCACTTCACTGTGAGGGGAAGGCCTTTTCATGGGAACTCTCCAAATATCATTCAAGTGCCTCTTGTTGCAAAGATTTCCTCCATGGTGGAAGGGGTGTGTGTGTGCGTGCGTGTGTGTGTGTGTGTGTGCGCGTGTGTGTGCGTGTGTGTGTGTGTGTGCGCTCCTGTGCGTGTGCATGTGTGTGTCTGTCTCTGTGGGGGGTGGGGGGTGGGGGGTAAGAGAATATGAGCAAACTATGATCACAGTGACTTCATGTGGGGTTCCAGAAGCTCTGTGGCAGCCACTGCTTGCTCTTTGTGAGAGTCAGCTCAGGCAGGCGAGAGCTGCCCTCTGGTTAGGGTTTGTCAAATGCAAAGTAAAAAATATTAAACGTCCCAGATCCCAGCCATGCTTTTGCCATTTTGGCCTCTCCTGTGGCCCCGCCTTGCGGTGGGGGGTAGACGTGCCTGCATCCCACAGTGGCACAGAGAAGGGGCTCACACTTTCTGGCTGCTTCAGAAGCCGTCCCTCAGTGACACACGCAGCCGAAAAGGACCAACTGGCTTCTGTGCGCTAGTCTGTGATTGACTTTGCTTAATATGAGTCTCAGAACTCAGCAGGTATGTCTGAAACTGTAAATATGCTTGTGCCTTAAAAGGAGAGAAGAAAGTGTAGGCAGTTCGAGAGCGCGGCAGATGAACATTCTGAGCCAGGCAAGTAGTCAGGTTGTTGGACGGCCACTCGTGAACCCAAAGTAACCAGGGAGCCCCTGGAGGCATCGTGTGTGCATGTGCGAGCATGCGTGTGTGTGTGTGTGTGCTTCTCTCCCCCTCACCCCCCCCCAGGTGTTGCCCTCTCTCTGCTCGCCCCCGACCTTCAGTGCCAAGGTCTCACGCATATCGGCCCCAGCAGGCAGAAGCCGGTTCTTGCTGTCAGTGTACTTCCTGTGTGCTCTTTATTCCCAGCAGAGTGATGATGTGTTTTGCACGTCTTGCTATTTGAGCATGCACAGCTGCTTGTCTGTTCTCTTCGGGAGGCCCTGGTGCCTGGCAGGTTTGCCGGTGAAGACTTCTTGGGTAGTTCAGAGCCCACGTCACCTCGGCCGATGCCACGGGCAGGTGACATCCTCTCTCCAGTCCCAGTGCTATTTTGTGTTGAACACAATTGATACTCTAGGTGCTTTTGATGTGAAAACTATGAAGAAATGGAACAGATGGGTGGATAGCATTTTCACTCTTGCCGTCTGGTTTTTGACAAACTATTTATAGGGAACCGTCACGGGAAAGATCAGGGCTCTTCCCGGGAATATCTCAGACTTTGAAAAACAAATTGTTCTCTTCACTCCCAATAGCCAATGCTAAGAAATGCTGAAAATCAAAGTGAAAAATAAAAACTCATGAGGCCAGAAACTCCTTTCGCTATCTTTGTCTAAACGTGGTTATTAGAGAAGTAACGAGGTGTCTTTTCCACCCGTCTTTGGGAGAGGGTCTTCTTGGCAGCTTTACATTGAAATCTTGGTCTTGGTTTGGGGAGAAAAAGATTTTGTTTCAGAATTTTGTATATTGCAGGAATCCTTTGAGAATGTGATTCCATTTGATGGGGAGAAAGGGCAAATTATTCTAATATTTTGTATTTTCAACTTCATAAAGATGAAATATCCTCAGGGGTAGAGAAGAGTTGCTTCCTTAATTTTCTGAATTTCAGGCATCTTGTGCCCCCTAAGGGCCCACGTATTTAAACCTTTTGTGAAATAAGAAAGCGTAAAGCCACTTCCACTGTTGGTGGTGCGACAAAATCTTGTATTTGGGACAAGGTGTATCCATTTCTGTATCGCAGTGCCGTGGCGCATGCCCTCCGGAGGGACGGGGAGCTCCCCTGAGTCAGCTGTGGAGCGAGAAGGAAGGAGGCAGGCTGATGGGTGACCGCACCTCACCTGAGATTCTCCCCCTCTTTAAAGAAAAATGGACACAAAGGCCTCATCTCCTTTATGTGCAGTTCAAATCCTCACAATCCACAACAAGATGAATTTTATCGGCCGTGTCTGATTGTAAATGCTAGTGTGATTTCCTGAAGAAATACTGCTCTGAGTATTTTTCATAAAGGTCTTTGCACATGTGATTGTGTATGTGTTAGGAGTCTGAATATGCTCCAGGAGCCTGGACTCGGCCGGAGCCTTGGAACAGCTCGTTGGTTTCTGAGCATCAGGCTCCCATCTCCTGATTTCTCTGAACAGAAAGCAAAAGAGAGAATGAGGGAAACTGCTATTGTATTTGTATTCATGAACTTGGCTGTAATCAGTTATGCCGTATAGGATGTCATACAATACCACTGGTTAAAATAAAGCCTATTTTTCAAATTTAGTGAGTTTCTCAAGTTTCTTATATTTTTATGTTGATTGCATTTTATTTAGTGCACAATATGGCATCATATCGATGTTCTTTCCATTGTGGCCTGGCGTACGTGTCTGATAGATCTTAATATTACTCCTGAAATTTAGAAAACACTTACAGAGGTCCTTAGTTGTCCACTTTATGGTGAAGCAGATCTGAGTCACTGATGGGACAGATAGAGCAAATCGCAAATAAGGTATAACACAGCAGGCTCTGTATTACTACACTTGGGTGTCAGAGTAGCCCAGGACAGGGGTCCGCAAAGTATGACCCCAGAGCCAGATCCAGTCTACCGCCTGTCTCTGTATAGCCCACTAAAAATGGTTTTTACATTTTTAAGTGGTTGGGATCAAAAGAACAGTATTTTTGTAGCGTGTGAAAAATAATATAAGATTCAAATTTCAATGTCTGTAAGTAACATTTTATCAGAACACAGTCACACATTTACGTATTTTCTATGGCTGCTTTTGTGCTGCAGTGACAAAGTCGAGTCGTTGCAGCAGAGGCCATACAGCTTACAGAGTCTAAACAATTCACTCTCTGGCCCTTTACAGAAAAAGTTTGCTGACCCCTGGCCTAGGACTTCAGTCTCCTCATGTGTAAAATGAAGTTTGTTTAAGTAGTTGTTTGGGTTCTTTTCAGCTTTGACATTCTATCTGTAGAAAGTATATTTTCATTTGGAAATTGCCAGAGAGAAGGTTGCATGTGTACCTATACACGTATATTGTTTATAGATTTTTAAGCAATCTGTTTTATGACTCATTTATCTTATGACCCCTGACAGTATTCCTCAAAACAAGTGACTTGCACCACAGGATTAAAGGTCCGCGAGGTCTCGCGGCTGTTTTCAGGGCCTGTGTCCGTGTGCTTCCTTTCTCAGTGGCCGAGGAATGCTGACAGGTGTCCCAGGCTGGATTGTCGAGGCCCAGCCTGCGAGGATATCGAGAGCCTGCGGCCGGGTGTTCTGTCCTGCGGCGTGTGGTCCCAGGCTGGCAGCTGGGAATAATGGCAGAAGGCAAACTGAGCACAGACTCTTTGTTTCATCCTATCCTCATCCGCTTCTTAAGAGGGTAAAAGGAAAGGGACCCAGTTGTCACACGTGATATATACGCCCCTGCAAGGATCAGACAGTTGCAGGAAATATTTTGCCTTCGCATACCAGGCACGAGTGCTGTGACTCAGCCTTCCTCCTAGGCTTCTGAGTGGGTGCTGCCTGGTGGCTCAAGAGAATGGACACCAGAGAGAGCTCCCTAAAGTGAACCCACTGAAAATGAGGACCAGAATCTCCTAGTACGTGGTGGGGATTGGAGGACAGAGGAAGTCTGTTTGGGACGATCATGAAAACGGAGCAGAACTGTAAAAGCATATTCATAATTTCAGATAGGCTTTTGTCATGAACAAAGAACAAAATGTTTCTCACGTGACACCGTCTTTAACAGCCTGCGGTATCCTTCCCATTTTGATTTTTTGCAGCGCAGAGGGGGAATTTGGGCAAGAATATTTGAGGCTTCCTCAGTTTTCCTAAAGACCTCAATCTTTTGATACATTGTTCTTTTCTCTAAGTCTCTCTTGGTGATCACTTTATTACTTTTCCCTTTTTGTTGGCTGGTCGGAGTCCGCCAGATCCACATTTTTGAGATCTAAGCAGTTTTCAAGCGTTATTTATCAAGTTTATCAAATCTACCATTTTTGCAAGGTTTACTTGCTGCAGTTAATCTGCCTCATATTTGTGTCATTGGTCATATGCGTACAACGTAATTAGAGACTAACAGAAGACTAGAATGGGTAGGATAGACATTCTGGGTTCAGAGGCTTATGAAGCAAAAAGGGATAAATTTTCTAAGTAGTCCGTTAACTAGTTGAATGTGCTTGTGTGATGACCTTCACTTCTCTGTACGATCTGATAGCTACGAGGACTTAGCTACCAAAAATGCAAATGAAGACCTTTTTAATAATACAGATATGTCTCAACATATGCTTTGGACTTAACACACTTCTCACAAGTGCACGAATGAAGAAATAAAAGGTCACTCGGGGTCTTGTTCTTTGCGATAGCAAAATATTGACATTTCTGCCAATGAGAACTTGAATAACATGGCCATCTTACAGTGGAAAACCATATATGGAGACGGGTACATGTGCAGGATATATTAGGAGCGAGAGAAGGTAAGTGGCAAACAGAAGAAAGATGTGTGTGTGTGTGTGTGTGTGTGTGTGTGTGTGTGTGTGTGAGACCCGGAGATCCATCCCCCAATTTCAGTTTTGCCAGGGTCAGAGCCCAACTTTCCAAGACAGGAGAACACAGGGTGGAAAGGGGCTGCACCCAGCTGTGGGGCCTCTTGACAAGCATAACACCACCACTCCTGTGTAGCCGGATTCTGCCCCCAGCTGAGAGCCCTGGGTAGTTTCTTCCCTAGTGTATTGGGGGGATCTGAAGCAGGATTTTTCAGTTTTTGACACTATTGGCATCCGGGGTCACATTGTTACTTGTCGAGGCAGACCTGCGCGCTGTAGGTTGTCAAGCAGCATCCCTGACTTCTGCTCACATCATGACAGTCGCATGCATACTCCCTTCTCTCCCAGTTATGACAGCCAGAAATGTCTCCAGACATTGCCAAATGTCCGCTGGTGCGAAATCATCCCTGGTTAAGAACCACTGGTCTAACGCTGAGACACCTCGGGAACCTGACTGGCTAAGTCAGTAGATCATGTGGCTCTTTGATCTGGGGCTGTGAGTCAAAGCCCCACATTGGGCTTGGAGCTTGCTTTATTTTTTTTTTAATGTTTTATTTATTTTTGAGAGAGAGAGAGAGAGAGAGTATAAGCGGGGGAGGGGCAGAGAGAGAGGGAGACACAATGTGAAGCAGGCTCCAGGCTCTGAGCTGTCAGCACAGGGCTCAACGCGGGGCTCGAACTCACGAACTGTGAGATCATGACCTGAGCTGAAGTTGGACACTTAGCCGACTGAGCCACCCAGGCGCCCCATACTTGGAGCTTACTTTAAAACAAAACAAACGGGCGCCTGGGTGGCGCAGTCGGTTGGGCGTCCGACTTCAGCCAGGTCACGATCTCGCGGTCCGTGAGTTCGAGCCCCGCGTCGGGCTCTGGGCTGATGGCTCAGAGCCTGGAGCCTGTTTCCGATTCTGTGTCTCCCTCTCTCTCTGCCCCTCCCCCGTTCATGCTCTGTCTCTCTCTGTCCCAAAAATAAATAAACGTTGAAAAAAAATTTTTTTAAACAAAACAAACAAAAATAAATAATAATAAAGCTGGGACACCTCTAGTCTTGCAGAATAACAAAGAGCCTTTCCTTTTTTCTTTCTTTATTTTTGAGAGAGAGAGAGAGAGAATGAGCAGAGGAGGGGCAGAGAGAGGGAGAGGGAGGATCCGAAATGGGCTCCGTGCTGACAGCAGAGAGCCCAATGTGGGGCTCCAACCCATGAACCGTGAGATCACAACCTGAGCCAAAGTCGGACACTTAACTGACTCAGCCACCCAGGCGCCCCACAAAGACCCTTTTCTTGAAGAAATAATTGAAGATTAACACCTACTAACCTATTCTCAATGTAGGAAAGGGCTTTTTAAAAACTGGAGTAGATCTTTTTTGGAGAAAAGGATAGTTCAGAAGAAGGTAGGCTTGATACTGGATTAAGGCTATTCCATTTCTCAAAAAAAGAAAAAGGAAGTGGGTGTCGAGTGGATACAATTATTCTTTGTTCAGAAGCTTTTGGGCCATTGCCACAGCGCCAGAAAATGTATTAGTTAAACTGGGGTACGACTGCAAGATTTTCTTAGGCAGGTGTGGGTCACAGTGGAAAGCAATACTGGGTTTTGAAGCCATAAATCTCAGGTTCAAATCCTGACTCAAGCTTTTGTCAGGTATGTGATGCTGGGATAATAGCTTTTAGTTTTCAGGTGACTGAAGATTTGTAAATGAACAAAATAACAAACCTCTGTGCCCAGTATGCTGTGGACACTCAAGATACTGGTTAGTTTGCATCTCTCTTGAACTGACTTTGGGCACTGAGGCTGTTCTATTAGAGTGAGTGTGGGAGTGTCCTCCCCACAGTGTGAGCTTTTCTTTTTTTTTTTTATGTTTATTTTATTTTTGAGGGGGAGGGGTGAGGGGCAGAGAGAGAGGAGACACAGAATCCAAAGCAGGCTCCAGGTTCTGAGCTGTGAGCACAGAGCCCGACGTGGGGCTTGAACCCACGAACCGCGAGATCATGACCTGAGCAGAAGTCAGTGCTTAACTGACCGAGCCATCCGGGCGCCCCTGCAGTGTGAGCTTCTGAAGCCACCTGGGAGGAGAGCTCCCTGGACGAGATAGTCCAGGGCCTAGCTCCAGGGAAGTTTCTGGAAAACTATTATTGAGGCCAGGGGCTGTGGCCTGAGTACCCATCGCCAGCAGGACACTGTTGTACTGCAAAACTTCTTGATCAGTTCAGTTGGGAGAATGTGCTTCATGTAGAAGTCATTAAGCAATGAAGTAAGGAAGTAACCTTAAGTCCAATTTTGCAATGAAGAAAATATATATACACCACCACATTTTGAGTGTCGTTTGACGGTGGGCACAAAGAAGATGTAAAACTACAGGGCCAACCTGGCCCCTTCGCAAAAAACAGTGGTTCTCAAGTCTTTATCAGATCCAACATGCTTAACTAATATCTTGAGACATTCTTCTTATGATCCTGAAGTGAAATTCATAGACAACGCGCGCACACACACACACACACACACACACACACACGATTTCAAAGCAGATAGAATGATCTGATATAAATGATGGATACAGAAAAAAGATACACTTCAATACGCTAATGCTCAAGCATAACCACATAAGAGACATACTGAAGCAGGGGCACCTGGGTTGGCTCAGTCAGTGAAGATTCTGACTTAGGCTCATGTCATGATCTCACGGCTCATGAGTTCAAGCCCTGTGTCGGGCTCTGGGCTGACAGCTCAGGGCCTGG